TGCCAATAAACTGAAACTCTCCCTGGTTGTATCTTTATTTCAGTGATAACAGTAGTATACGGAAAAATGCCTAAATACAAGTATAACGGATCTATTCATTCAGGAATGCAATAATGTTATATTCTGCCCCAATAAAGCACTAATAATTTGTGGTGGAAAGAGTAGACAATTTTGTCAACTGGCATTGGAATTTGGATCAGCAAACACCCCTCTTCTAGCAAGCCTTCAGGACCCCTTAGTTCCTCCCGCTCCCATTTCCAACCACATTGAGCCAGGACTGGAGTGATCAATCCAGACAGTCTTTGTTTGAAGGACACCATTTTCCATAATTCTTAGGCCAAACCTCTAGTGAGAGGGATCTGGGACTCTTTTCTATCCCTTGGCCCAGACTTCCCACTCCAGATCCTGCCCCAGGTCTCCAGTTCCCCCACCTCTCATGCACAGCCCATCCGCTTGTGTTCCCCCAATTTTACATGTTGGAATGTGATGCCTGATATGATGGTGTTAGGAGGTAGGATCTTTGGAAGGTATTTAGATTGTGAGGGTGATGCCCTCCTGGCTGGGTTAGTGCCCTGATAAAATAGGAGCAATGTCTCATCTTCCACCGTGTGAGTTCACAGCAAGAAGTCTTAATGCAGAAGCAGGCCCTCCCCCCAGGGAGCCTGCCTGCACCCTGATCTTGCACTTCCAGTCTCCAGAAATGTGAGATAGAAATGTCTATTGTGTACAAGCCACCCTGTCTGTGATATTTGTTAGAGCTGCCCAAATAGACAAAGGCACCATCCAACAAGCAAATGGACCCACCTCCTCCTTAAAAGGCAGTATGATTTCTCAAACATAAAGCATCTCTTTTTGTTACATAGCCTGCTAGGTCCTTGGCAAGCACAGCCCCTGACATTAGCACTTCTACTCCTGTCAGAAACTCTGATGGATATTTTCAGATCAGGGAAGGCTGACCACCCATCCCATGTCTACAGAGCCCATCAGGGAAGTCCAGAGCTGAGGCCTGGTCAGAGCCATGAACTCAGAGTAGCAGGTCGAATGGTGTCCCCTCCCCCCGTCTCTTCTCCTCTCTCTTTCCCTCTTTCTCCCTCCTTCTCTTTCTCCCTCCTGCCCTCTCTCTCCTCTCCCTCTCCATAAGTGCACAAAGAGATCATGTGAGCATAGAGAGATGGCATGGCCTACAAGTCAAAAGAAGAGGCCTGAGAATGAAATCTACCCTGTCTTCCAGAGCTGGAAGTTTCGTTTGTTTAAACTGCCTGGTCTGTGGTACTTTGTTATGTCAGCCTGAGCTAACTGGTACACCAGGTAACCCAAACCCACAGAAATGTGGTGACTAGCTCAGGAAGGCCCAGGGCCAGCACTAGAGGTCTGAGCCTCAGGCCAGCAGCCCTCAAGAGCTCCAGCCCAGCAGCATCAGCAGTCTGACCGCATGATTTCCTGATGCTGCAGCTGGCAAGCTGCCTGCAGGAGAGGGAATCAAGACAGGAGGGCCAAGTCTAAACCAGGGCTGAGTCCTCACTCCACAGGCCAAGGACAAGGCATAAACAGCACTGCAGAGTACTTCAAAGTAGGAGCTCCATGGGGAGGTTTTGCAAAAGCCATGAGGACTGACAAAATCACCCCCTGGGGACCTCTCTGAGCTGGAAGTGGGAACAGGAAATAGCTAGATGAGATTCATCTTGGAAAAATGCAAGCTCATACATCTGCATAAAGCTAATCCAAAACACAGCATGAGAGAGCCACAGTGTAGAGCAGGAGACAGACTTCAGCTGAGCTGGTCCAGCTAGGAGGTCATCTGTGTGAGCTCTCTGTTGGGTGGTGGCGGGGGTGGGGGATTTCGGTGTGGGGAGTAGGAGGCTGGAGATTTATGTCTTGGAACCCCAAACCAGGCTTACTGGAAATAGGACTGAGTCCTCTACTTCCCAGCAGGCTCAACACTGGTCAGGGGGTCCATGGAGGGGAGGAGAGCCTCACACCACCCAACAATGCCTTACCAGCGGTACCCAGCCTCACTCAGTGGGCACTCTCCCCCCTCACAAAACCTTGGGCTTGTGGAAGGCCCTGTGTTCCTCAGTGTTGCCAGTGCTTTAAAATGTTCAGGTGTGATTGGAACCAGTGGATGAAGCCAAAGACTGTTATAGGTGGTACCCATGGAGGGGGTTGTTGGTGAGGCTAGATAGCCCCAGGGAAAATGCCAAAAAGTATAGCATTTTGGGGTGGAACAACTGATAAGAAATATAAGGGACTGCAGAAGCAGCTGCTGATTATTCTTGTTCGGGATTCAGCATTTTTGGATCTTCAGTGATTTCATGCTCAGCGATTTTAGTCTCCACTGCACGGGTCTTCCAGAAGGCTGTCGAGGGCCTCTGAAGGTGGCTTCCAGCAGCCAACCTCAGAGAGGAAAAGTTTGGAAGCTTTGCAATTAGCAGAGTAACTGAAACTGTCCCGGTGTTGCTGCTGTTACAGCCTGGCAGAGAAGCGAAGACCAGGAGCCGGATGCCTCTCTGAGCTGTGAGTGTGGCTGTTTGTCGGGTCGGGTCCGTTGGCCGCTGCAGCTGCTATTTTGAGTGTCACTTGTCTTGTGCTGTGCTGGGGCATCTCGGCAGCTCTGGGAACATCTCCTGTTGTGTCTTCTGTTGTCTTCGTGAGGTGGATCCCGGCCTATAGTCTGGATGTCATGTGCTCCAGGTCCGCAGTGGCAGGAAGATGCCATCTTGGGCATGTGACCTATTGTTTGGGAGAGGAGCTCTGTGTCCTCAGTGGTAGGAAGACACCATCTTAGCTGGTTTTTGTTAAGGACTTGAAACACTGGACACAGCTTCGGGTGAGGTAAACGGCCATTTGTGGCCTCAGTAACTCTTTATTTTCCCTGGTTTGTTAAATAAAGTTCTCTGAGCCTGAGTAGCCTTGCAATTGTGCGCACGGGTGAAGAACTCAGACTGACTAGTAAACTATTTGGGCAGGTCCTTGGCCAGATCACAATGGGTGATCTGGCCCAGTATCACGATGGGTCACTAGAAGCTGCCTCTGCCTCCCGACAAGAGAACCCAGGTGCCCTGGCCTGACACAAAGGATGTGGTTTAAGGGTATTAACTGAAATAAGTCTCAATGATTGTTAGACAGAGCGTATGTTAGCTAAGCAAGGTAAGATTCAAACCCAGGGAAGAATTTGACAGTTTTCACTCTAAGAATTGGCTCAACTATCACCAGTACAGTTTATATAGCTAGGCAGCGAATCATTGACATAAAAATGTAATTATTCTTGGGGGGAAGGGGAGAGAATAGGGCCTTCTGCTTCTAAGTTATTTTGAGATAAAGATATATTGAGGTGATCTATGCCCAGAAGATGGCACATGCCGGGGGTTTTATTCACTTCCCTGATTTCTAAGGAAATGCACTGTGGAGAGGAAAGGTTTGGTGCCCATTGTTTAAACCTTTATCCAGCTCCTTGGTTATGTCTGTGGGTTGGAAGGGCGGGATACCCACTGGCAGTACATTTTTGCATGACTGCTTCACAGAACAGGGAGGAGCATCTTCTTACATCAAGTGTATGCAGATAGCTTTGCTCTCTCCTTTGCTAGACCAAGGCAGGGGTCATTTTCCCACTATGTTCACACAGGGATAGACAGCTCTGAGAAGGTCAAGGCAGAGCTCCTGATGAGAGCTCAGAATGTCCAGGTACTTGAAGAAAGCCAGGGCCCACGGGTGGGGAATAGACTCTGACTCCTTACAGAAGCCTTGCAAGCTCACCTTCCTCTGCTGGCAAGAGGAGAAGGCACTTGCGGGGGGAAAGGGACTAGCACCCAGGCCTCCTGGCTGCCTGCCGTGGAAGTCCTGGGGTCTAGGAGATTCCAAACTCTTGGAGTTAGTAGGGGGGGGGCACCTGCCTCCCTCAGCCCCGTGTACTGGTGCAGAGCCTGCACACAGAGAAGGGACAGAGGGGGAGATTAGGGAGGAGGGGGACACGGTCACAGCTGGCCTGCCCCATCTGTTATTCTGAGCAGGGGTTTACTGCTGTCACAAAAATATTCCAAAGCCTGCTGCTTGAGAAGAGAGACTGCAGGAACACTCACTGTTAGGCTGTCAACTTGCCCAGCCTGAACCACAGAATCAACACAATTCCAATATTGGAAAAGAACCTGCTGGGTCAATCAGTACCTACTTCCCTCTGGTTCGCCTCTTAATTTTAAGAACATTTATAGATTCCGCCCCCCTCCCCCGCCCATACGTTTTTTGTTTCGTGTTTCGATTTGAATGTTGGACCCATTTGGACTTCACATTGGTGTAAAGGAGCGCGGGAGGAAAGCCACTTCTGTTTTTCCAAATGGCCGGCCAGTTGTCCAAATGCCATTCAACTGAAAACTCTCGCCAGGCTGTTCAAGGAGGCCGGTCAGGACACGGCTCCCGCCAGGTTCCCACCTCGGCTTTGGGAAGGAGAGGCTGGGTCGGTCCCGAGGGGCCCGAAGGGCGGCAAGGACCCGCGCCCGGCGCCCGCGGGGGAGCTGGAGACCCGGTCCGCTCGGCCCGGTCGCTCCACCCCCGCGGGCACCGCTCGACCCCACCCCCACCCCCACCCCCACCCGCTCGGGGCACCGAGGCCTCCGCCGTCTACCCCGTCCTAGGCCGCGGCCGCCCCCCGCCCCCCCTCCTCCCCCGGCCTCGCCGCCCCCGCGCGGGGTCTCAGGCGGCCCCGGGAGGCCGGGGGGACTTTGCGCGGGGCCGGGGGCGGCCGTTCGTCTTTGCGCAGAGGCGGCGTCTCGGGCGCCCACGCGCCGGGCCCTGAACCCGCCGGGGCCACCTGCGGCGCCCCGGGCCGCCGAGAGGCCTCATTGGCGCGCGGCGGGCCCGCCCTCTCCACGCCGCCGGGCGCCGCCCGCCCCCGCCGCCCGCCCCTCCCTCCCGCCGCCCGCCCCCGGCGCCCGCCCGCCGCTCGCCCGCCGCCTTCCGGCCTCCGCTGCTCCCCGCGGCCGCGCCCGCCGGCCCCGGCTCCGGGCCGGATGCTCCCGACCCCGCGGCGAGCGCGGGCCGGGGCCCCAGTCCCCGCGGCCGCCGGCCCCGCGGCTCGCTTCCCGGGCGTCGCCATCTACCTGGCCGAGCGGCGCATGGGCCGCAGCCGCCGCGCCTTCCTCGCGCGCCTCGCGCTCTCCAAGGGCTTCCGCGTCCTGGACGCCTACGGGTGCGCGGCGGCCGCGGGGCTCGCTGCCCGGGGCGCCTGCCTCTGCGGCGGGCGGGGGAGGGCCTGGGGACGGGGTGCACCGGGTGTTGCGCCGCGGCGGCTGGAGAGGGAAACACAGAGCCGGGGCGCGCGGTGGAGGAGGGCGTCTCCCCAGAGGGGGCCTGGGGGCGTCTGTAGGGCACCTGTGAAGGTGAACTGCGCGCCCCTCGCGGAGGGGCCGGCGAGAGCAAGGCCGGGCGGTGCGGAGTGAAGCAGGGAGCGCGGCCGGCCTGCACGGGGCTCCGATCCACCCTTGGCCCCCCTCTGCCAGCTCGGAGGTGACACACGTAGTGATGGAGCAGACCTCGGCGGAGGAGGCCGCCTGCTGGCTGCGGGGCAGGGCGCCCGCTGCTCCCCCGGGGGCCGTCGGCCCAGCGCTGCTGGACATCAGCTGGTTCACGGAGAGCATGGCTGCCGGGCAGCCTGTGCCTGTGGAGGGCCGCCACCGCCTGGAGGTGAGCCCTGCTGAGGATTTGTCTTGGGGCCAGTGAAAGCCCCAGTGCAGCTGTCGCTCAGCTGGGATAGGCGACGAGGCCACAGGGCCCTGGCCTTCAGATGAAGAGCGAAGGCTTTGCCCAGACTACATGGGGCCTTGGGAAAACAGGCCACCCCAGCTTCTGCTCTCATCATTGGTGCGGTTTCTTAGCCCCACTTTTAATATCATTAGACCTTTCTTGATCACCAACTAGATGAAACTGATCCCCAAATGAGATGATGACCTAAGGGCCAACAGGAGGTTGTCCTTGGGGGTGCTGTGGGTTTCACTATCTCTGCCCCACCTCAGTGCTTCCTGAGTGAGCTGAACTGGAGCCTGGACTCAAAACCGAGTGCCCACATTCAAATCCTGGCTCTGCTTGTGAATCGTGAGGCATCATGATTCTAAGGCCTCCGTGTCCTTGTCTGTGAAGCAAGGATGACAAGTTCTTCTTATCCACTTGATTGAGGGGGTCTCAGGAGGTGGAGCACATGCACCAGCTGCAGGGGCAGGATAAGTGCTCCAGGAGGACCAGCAGGTGGCATCACTACAGGTGTCTGCTCTGAATAACCTACCCCTGCCCCCTCTGCTGGACAACACCCTCCTCTGCAGGGCAGCATGGCCTCTGCACTGGGTGTCCAGGGGTTTTGCCCTCTGAGTGGGTTCCCTCTGCTCTCCGCAAGTGACCCAGGAGAGGCGAGGTTTTGGGGATTGCCTCACTCCCCTGCTGGCCCTGCAAAACCACCTATACATTGCCCCTCTCCAGGTGGCCGTGCCCAGGAAGGAACTGCCGAGCCCAGCGTGGATGCTGCCATATGCCTGCCAGCGTCCCACACCCCTCACACACCACAATACCAGCCTCACGGTGAGTTGAAGGTTCCTTGATGTGCGGCCAGGACCCTCTTGTGAGCATTCTTCTGTCCTGTGTTGGGCAAAAGCTCGTGACAGCTAAGAGGGTTGGGGCTGCTTGCCCCATCCACCCTGCCCCTTACCACAAACTGCTCCCTGCAGGAAGCTCTGGAGACACTGGCAGAGGCGGCCAGCTTTGAAGGCAGTGAGGGCCGCTGCCTCTCCTTCTACAGAGCAGCCTCGGTGCTCAAGGCCCTTCCCTGCCCAGTCACAGCCCCGAGTCAGCTGCGGGGGCTACCTCACTTTGGAGAACATTCCTGCCGGGTCATCCAGGTAGGTGGTAACACCATCTAGAAGCAGAGTGCATCCCAGGAGCATGGCGAGGAGTCCAACTTCAGAGGCAGGCAGACAGATGGACAGACAGATGTGGGGGCTGGTTCCCAGGTCAGGGCAAGTGATTCTCCACTCTCAGATTTTTAATATGTAAGTTGGGGCCCAGCCGCCTGCCTTAGACTGGTGAGAAGACTCAAGGAGGGGAGCTGCCAGGGCCCCGACAGAGCTGGTAGCTGGCGTTGTTGGCATCGGCCCTGATGCCCAGATAGTGGAAGTTTGAACGCCTGTTTTGTGAAAGATACAACATATGTGAGGACCTAGATTGTTAAGTTTTCCTTTATGTGCACTTACCATGGGGAGAATACATAATGTCAAGGAGAATTTTGAATCCAAGGTAGGCTTTGATTCATCACATGTATTTTGAAAAGCAGTTGTTCATGTGCCCTGTGCTGGTTATTCCTCTGAGAGATGGCCCATGTTCCCCCAAGTTCAAAGGGCTTTGAGGCTGTGGTCACCTTCATGGATGCAGTCTGCCTTTCCAAGTTCTGCCGGATTCTGGTACCACAGTGCCATCTTCCAAGTTGTGAGGGTCTGCTGGTCGTCGCTGGGCCGCCAGTGCTTTGTTCTGTCCAGGCAGGCCTGAAGTTTTGCTTTGTTTCCTCCCACAGGAGCTGCTGGAACATGGGGTCTGCGAAGAGGTGGAGAGAGTCCGGTTCTCAGAGCGGTACCAGACCATGAAGGTGCACAGCCAGCGGACTTAGCAGAGGCACTCAGCCCCCACCTTTCCCCCAGATGTCCGCACCACTCCTGCATGTGCTGGCGGGCACTAGGGCTCACCAGCCCAGATAAGGTCTTAATGAGGAGGTGGCAGCTGGCACTGACACGTACAAGGCGGCAGAAGGGGACTGGCAAGGGAAGCTTGTTTTGACGTGACATTTTCTAGATCACTCAGTACAATCTGTTTGTATTGGATTATTTTTGATGGAATATTCTCAAGTATATTATAGGCTCTAGCCCCTTAAACACTCAAATGGAGCATACTGAACAAAACATGGCCTTTCCCTTGGTGCCATGAGGTTGATTAAATTTGCACATCTACTCACCCTTGCACTGTCTCCACCATTAGGGTGTTGCCCTGCCTGTCTCCACAGTGCACCTTCCCTGTTCTTACTTCTCATCTGATGGAATGTGACGCCTTGGCCACAGTGCTTGGACACCCTGGTTCTGTGGCTGGAGGTTGTCAGACCAGTGATGAGTCGAGCAGTGGGGTCTCCCTGTTGGGGTGTGTCATTGTTACTGTGGGAGGTTGCCTCGAATGTTGAGAATCAACTGAGAGGGTTTTAAGGAAGGATAGGAGCTGTGTGTGTAGGAAGAGGCTCAGGTAGACAGAGAGCAAGGAAAGGGCAGGTCCAGGGGCGAGACACAGGCAGTTGTGAGCAGCGAAGTGCTGAGGGTGGCAGAGCCCTCACAAGATATTCAAGCCACGAAGTATGTTAATCATTAGAAGATGTTTTTTATGAACAATATGATTAGGTTATTCTTAGCATTCTCTTCATTGGAAAGGATGGGCCTGCACAGCCCCATAAAAGGCAGGACTGCAGCTGGTCTGCAGGAAACAGGGCCTGGGCACCCGAGTACTGCCAGGCTGTTCTTCTTCCCTGCCTCTCTGCGTGCTGGCCACCTCTGCCAGCTGAGACATGGCTTCGTTGCAGTCCAGCCACTGTAAGAGCCCTGACCTTCTGTTTCAATTAAAAAATCCCTGCAGAGGGGTTCTGAGTGGCTGAGGGCAAGTGCCTACCCCGACCAATGAGTTGTAGTCAAGGAAGAAACAGGTGACTTGTTAGGCCAGGTCAGCCACTTACCTGGTATGGGAGACCCTCTGAGATTTGCCAGCCTCCCTATGAGAGGTAGCTCCAGCAGCGTGACTTCCACTCATCTGGACATCTGTACTGACCTAGGCCAGCTGGTAACACCTGCTATGTTGGAGCCTGGAACGAGCCCCAGCAGTTCCAGACTTTCACTGGCTCCAACTCCTGCTAAAACAACCCTGTAATTGTTAAGTGCCTGTTGTTTTTGCTGTTTGTCAAGAACAACCACAGTAATAAGTTCCAGCTGCTGTTAGGTGGGAGAGACATGGTTTTTCCAGTGGATTGAGATTCTTTGTTAGGATGACTATTTTGGTAATGTTAGAATCACGGGGGAGACTCTCTAGAGGAGTTGATCAAGGCCAGAGAGGGGAAGTATCTTGAGGGGTTTCCTCCCCACCCCTCCCCCTCCACTCCCATGAGGGTGGGCTGTGTCTGCCAGACTTGGGGGCTTGAATCCTGTCTGGACATTCACTGTGTGCCTTGGGTGGGCTTGGTCAGGTTGCTTAAACTTGAAAAAGGTGAGTGTGGATGCTGGTGGGCCCTCTGGGCCACATCGTGACTTGAGGTCACCTGTGAAATGCAGCAGCTGTGCTGTGTGGAACTCAAATCAGGGTCTGTATCTGCATCTGTGCTAAGAGCTTAGTTCTGACCTTACTCATCCTCCCAACAGCTCTTCACTCAGATTTTCGGGGTCGGGATAAGGACTGCTGACCGGTGGTACCAGGAAGGTCTGCGGACCCTAGATGACCTTCAAGAGCAACACGAGAGACTGAACAAGCTCCAAGAAGCAGGTGATCTCTCAGCGGGTGAAGCCCTGGGCCTCCCCATAGCACTTTGGCCTAAAAGTCTCCCAAGACATGGAAGCTGGTGCTGATGACTTCCTGGACGGCTGGGAACAAGATCAGTGCACCCAGATCCTGGTGGCAGGCAGGCATCCCAGTGGCCGGCAGGCATCCCTTTATGGTAGACTATCTGGGGTGGAGATCTGGGGAGGGGGTGTCAGGACTCATTGTAGCCCTTTCTCAGTGAATGGTGTTGGCCACATAGCTGCTGTGGCACACATGGATCAAGCATAGGTTTCTGATCCCGACTCAGGGAGGATAGGGGAGGTCTGAGTAGCCTGGGTTTGGATACCCTGCTTGGTGCACAGCACCTGTGGCCTGGCCTGCTGACCAATGGCATGGGGTCCTGGTGTGGTAGGAGAGGCTCAGTGAGGAGCCTGCTAATGGGCTGTGATATGGTCTAGTGGAAAAACATGAACTTAAGAAGTTGTTAGACCTGGATTTGAGTACCATTGTGTCACTAGGTAGGTGACTTTGACCCTGAGACCTAACTTCTGGAGTGTCAGATGCGTTTTCTGTGAAGTATGGGATTTCTGTAAGTTTCTCCACATGAAGCTAGCAAGTAGCAGGTGTTAAGCAGATACTCTGTTCTCTCCATGTGGTTGAGGGCCTGGCACTCAGTCTTTTAAACATCTTCCCTGGAGCTGGGGGAGGGGAGGCCACCTGGGGGTCCTAGGAGGGCCACCTGCCAGTCAGCAGGAAATGAGACCCACAGAGCTGTGTAGCTAATGGAGCATGATGTGTGTGGCGCCCACTGGTTCCACTTGATCACATCTCCCCAAGGTGTGGAAGTGATGGGTCACCAGGGCCCTCATGTGAGAGCTAGCTGTTCCTTACTCCCCGTTGCTGTTCCACCCCACATTAAACCTCTCCTAACTGCATGTGGAAGGACAATGACTCCTCTCTGACAGGCGGGCAGGCTGACTTGGGTAAAGTGAGGTGTTCCTACATGACAGTCATCTTCATGCCGCCTCGTCACCTCCTGGTTCCCCTTTATGGATGGGAAAACCTAGGCACTGAAAGGATAGTGTGTATCATGAGTGTCAGTGTCCTGGTCTGATTATGATAGTTCTGCAAGAATTTACCATTGCAGATGGGTAGAGGTACAGGGCATTTCTATTATTGCAACTGGGTGTGAATCCACAATGATCTCAAAATAAAAGTATAATATTAAGAAGGAAAGAAGCGACTGGAGAGAGAGGGTGGGCTTTGAGGGTCAGGAAAAATGCACTGCTCACAGGACTGCAGCACCTCCAGGACCTGAGCACCCTGGTTCAGCGACTTGATGTGGAGGCCCTGCAGCAGCTGGTGGAGGCTGCCGTGAGTGAGGCCCTTCCTGGGGCCACCGTCACTCTGGCTGGTGGATTCCGGAGGTAAGGGAGCTTGACTCCAGGCCCACCCCAGGGAAGCCACCTGAGTTGTGGCCACTGAGGTGGGCTTTCCCTCACTGAAGGGACTGGGATGATGGTGAAGGCTGCATCCTCGATTTGAGTCCTGGAGTCAGACTGTCCCCCTCAGGGGGAAGTTGCAGGGCCACGACGTGGACTTCCTCATCACCCACCCCCAGGAGGGTCAGGAGGTGGGGCTGCTGGCCAGAGTGCTGCTCATCCTGAAGGAGCAGGTGAGGAGCCATCCTCTCCATAGAGCACTGCCCTCCTAGCCCCATGTGTGGTGCCTGGTCACACCTGCTCTCCCCCCAGGGGCTGATCCTGTACCACCAGCACCAACGCAGTCAGTGTGAAGACCGCACCTGGCTGGCCCAGCAGAAGAACACCATGGATGCCTTTGAGAGAAGCTTCTGCATTTTCCGCCTGCCACAACCCTTGGGGGCTGCTGTGGAGGGGTCCCAGAGGCCTTGCGCCTCCTGGAAGGCTGTGCGGGTAGACCTGGTGGTCGCCCCCATCAGTCAGTTCCCCTTTGCTCTACTCGGCTGGACTGGCTCCAGGGTAGGGAGCGTGCTTTGGGCTGCCCTGTGCTTTGGGCTGGTCCTGAGTTCAGGGTTGGCCAGCCTTGCTGACAAAGCTACTTTTTCCCACAGCATTTCGAACGCGAACTCCGCCGCTTCAGCCGAAAGGAGAGGGGACTGTGGCTGAACAGCCATGGACTGTTTGACCCAGAACAGGTGTGTTGACTGGAGGAGAAAATGCCTGTTTCCCTGCCCCCTCCAGTCTGGAACCCACAAGGCCCAAATCTTGATTTTGGTACCCAATCCCAGCCCTTTGAGGTGCACCCTGCCAGCCTCTAGCCTCCTGTCCTGGCTTTCTCAGGAAGCCTGGCAGTGGTGGGGATCGCTCCAGGGCATTAACATCCCCACTCCAATTGCAGAAGACCCTTTTCCACGCGGCCTCAGAGGAAGACATCTTCAGACACCTGGGCCTTGAGTACCTTCCCCCAGAGCAGAGAAATGCCTGATTCTGTCTGATGGTTCCCACTTCCACTCTTCGAGGAGGGACATTTGGTGTGCCAGACCCTTTGAATACCTGTGGCCACCAAATGTCTCCAGGTAGAAGATGCCCCAAGTCCTCACCTTTCCAGTGGGAGCCCCTCCTGTGTAGACTCCTCCCCCACCCACCCCTACTCCAAGATGTAATGAAATGAGCCCATGGAACAAACTGAGCTGTTTTCTGAATGTGCTGCTGGCTTGGGGGACAGGAGTCTGGTGCCTGGCCCTGCTCCTTGAGCAGAGCCTGTCTGGGTGTGCCACCCCATCCGCTGTGGGGCGTTATCTAGGTACAACCTGGGCCAGATGGCTCAGGCTCCTCCTTGTACAGAGGCCGCCTTTGTGGAGTTGTCAGAGAGCCTGAGGTCATGATGGACAGTGAGTGCTGTGCAATGCCTGATTCTCAGCTTCCAGCCACGGGCCTAAGAATGGAGAGGTGGAGGGGTGTTACTGCCCGCTGAAGTCTACTGTGGAGGTACTAAAGCATGTGCTGTAGTATCTGGAAAGGATCCAGGGGTAGGGAGTTGGGATCAACTACCCCCTGCCTGGTTAGCCCCACATCCTCCAACTAGGCTTCCTGTCTGCTCTCAGAAGACTTTAAGCAGGTCATGGTCATGTGATATCTTTCCTGCTCAAAGTCTCCAGTGATTCCCCCCGCCCACCTTGCACCTGCTTGCACAGTAAATTCCCCTGGACCCTGGCATTTCATCCCACCACCCCCCATCTCCTACATGCTTCCTCTCTCAAGCCCCGTGCCTCCTGCTTCTCATGACTGAGCCAGAGGCATTCCTGTCTCACTGCTTCTCACTTAAATTGCCCCAGACATCCACAAGATCAGTGGGCGTCTCACCCCCTCACTGAGGGGGTGTATCTCAGTGATACCTTTCTCATGGTGTCCCCTGTTCCTTCAATCCTCAGGCACACTCCAGTTTAGAGCCTTTACCCTTTAAGTACCATCTACCTGAATTACTTTTTCAACTCAAGGTCTCCTTGTCAGGTCAAGACTTCCCTAGCCACTTACCATATTAAAAAATATTTTTTCATTTAATGTGTAATAAAATGGACACTTCCAATGTACAATTTTAAAGAGTTTTTCTATTTTTTATTATAGTTACGTTTTATAAGTGATTATACCGGGATTGCTATCAGGAAAGTAGGGTAATGTTTTGTATGTTTTAAATGGTAAACGTACTCTGCAAGAAAAAAGTCCTTTTAGCTAAAGTTTGTAACTGGTAATAATTACAACAGGTTTGTTAACCAATCAAGAGTACAGAACCAATATGGCATTTGCTGGAAATCTCTGCATCCTGGGAGGGGCAGATGGAGCTCTTTATTGGGCAGAAAAACACTGGCAGGGTTACCAGAACTCCCGGCGTGTGTAGATACATTCTCTGTGAGCCCAAGTTTCTCAAAAATATTTGAATGCTTTTAGATGATAACCTCAAAAAATGTAGAAAAGCTTATTTTGTAGTCCCACTTAATTATATTTGCTTTTGTTGCCTGTGCTTTTGCTGACATATCTGAAAAATCATTGCCCAACCAAATGTCAGGGAGCTCTCGCCCTGGGGTTTTAGGATGTACATTTAAGTCTTTAATCCAGAGAGTAATATATAAATTTGATAAAATTTCAGTTTCCGTAGCAAGTCACAGATTTACCAGAAACGTGTAAAGCTCTCTTCTCTTGATAACTATTGGATGGTGGATTTAAGTTTCTGGTGTTTTATGTATCAATAAGCTGTATTGTCACATACCAGATTTAGTTTTTTAAAGAAGAGGATAGATTTCCACAATAAAAGAGAATATGCCTTTAGGAAAATCTATTCCAGTCTTATCAATTAACAGTAATTTCATTTTGTAATAAGCGTATTACCTGAAGCTGGATCCAACAGCCACTGTACCTGAGCAGCGTGAGCTGCCCAGAGTCTCACTCTTCCTGTGGGTCAGTCAATATTCAAGGTGGAACTGTCCATCGGGCAATTGGACAGAGGGTGAGTTTTAGGAAAATCTTAGACTGGTTCAGTTTCCTAGGGGGACAGATGCATTTTTCACCCTGTGAAACAGCTCTGTGGCCCAATATTTTGGGATATTTCCCTTCACTGTTGGGAATTACAGTGCTGTCTACGTTTGGATCCATTAGGGTGACAGTGGAGGGAGTGTATCTACAAGTCACACAGAGAAATGATCAGGGACCAAGGATGGGAGGAGAGACTTTGGTTGGGGAGGTGCAGTATACAAACTGTCCAATACAGAAACAGAGCTGGCAGCAGCTCAAAAGTGTAAATCTGTTTTACTTTAAATTGGTCACGCACAGGGTCAGGTTTGACTCGGGTCTGTCTTTTGGTTTGGGGAGTGATGAGATCATCATCTTTTGGCCCTGATCTGGGATTTGACGGTCTGGGTAACGGTCTTTCCAGGAATCTAGAGTCAGTTCTAGGAGATGAGCAGTAAATTTGAGTTATTTTAAACATGCTTTCCAGAATTCTGAGACTCCACTACAGTGTGCACCCTGATGCTGAGAGTAAAGGAAAAACACCCCATCCATGGTCATGTGCTTTGGAGGTTTTAATAGAACTGTTTTAACAGAACTGCTTTGTAAGCTATAATAAATCTGCTGCAGAGAATGTCAATCCAAGCTGGAGTAGGGCAGAGTCTTATTTGCTGTTCTGGGGCTGAAGAAACCAGTTGGAGGCTGGCCAAGGCAATAGTGAATCTTTGAAATGGAAACTGATGGCTACTTGGGGATGTTACCAGGGCCTGAGGTTTCATCATATATCATTGGGCTTATGAAAATCCAAAATTAGTCTGGTAATTAAGATATTGACTGCTAAAAGTTGAGAGGTTTTTTTTTTCCCTCTCCCATCCGCCAATCAGATAAAATGAAAGTGGGGGAGAAGGAAAAGCACCGGACCCAGTGCTTTACCACCCTGGCCTTGTCGCAGGCCATCATGCTCAGGATGCCAAGGCAGGTGGTAATGACAGTTGACAACATTGAAGGGGGTGATGGCAGCACAGGTAGTGGGCACCAGGTATTCACTGCCCCTATTGTCCCATTGGGACCAGATGGAATCATGGTGGGTTGTAGGGCACCAACTTGCTGAACAGCTCCTGGGGTAAACAGTATTACCCAGCCCTGCCACACCTCCATGTGTGCCTGTAGTCCCCACTGGTCAGAACTGAAGCTCAGGAAGCTGAGAACATGGCATGAACCTTGTGGGGGCCTCTGGGTTTTGTTCTCCATCCACTGAGCACCCAGCACAGGATGATACACAAGACCCAAAACTAGTGGGGGAGGGAGAGGGCATTTCACTAGCTCCTCTTTTGCTCCCAGAAAGCCTTACTTTGGCTACACCAAGAATAAGTACCTGGACTAGCTAGACAGAATTTCCGATCTTCTGAACAAGTTAAAAGCAGGTGACTTTCCATGTGCTTTTAAAATAAGCACTGCAGGCCAAACACAGAGGGCTTTTGATGGGGGAGAGGAAAATAAACATGAACAACCACAGCATGTCCAGCAGCCTTTTCTGCAGGTGAGGCGCCAGGGAAACACCTGCCGTAGTTTATCCCATTATCTTCACAAGATCCTTATGAGGTTTATCCTTGAATTCCCCACTTCAAAGGAGAAAATGGAGGCTCAGAGATGTGGAGTTACCTTCCCAAGACTTGCTGCAGTGGCCGGAGTCACTGTGCCAAGGAGGGAGTGGGCACTCACCTAGGGATTAATTTTTCTAGGACATTTTGGGTGGCATTGAGGGGCAGGTATGTGAACAGGAAGGTGGTGACATCAGACATGTTTCTACCCAAGAAGGCTGATACCTTGGGGTCCTCTGGTTTCTCAGTTATGACTGCCTACAGGGCCAACAAGGAGCAGACCTCACCCACATTCACAGTGGACTCATCTTCACAGTGAATAGGACAGGAGGGACATGTCAGTGGCATCGCCATGAACCGCTGGGAGGATCAGGGTCTGGAGCTCACCCAGGAACACCCAGCCCCTTGGGGACATGTCCAAGAAGAGGGACAGGAGTGCCCACCCTGAACAAGTCCTATGTAATAGGAGACTTCAACACACCACTATCAACAATGGATAGATCAATGAGACAAAAAATAAGGACACTAAAGCCCTAAATAAGGATCTAGAGCTCATGGGCTTAACAGACATCTATAGAACACTAAACCCAAAAAAATCTGAGTACACATTTTTCTCAAGCATACATGGATCATTCTCCAGGATTGATCACATACTGGGACACAAGATAAACATCAACAGATACACCAGATTGAAGTCACACCAACTATCTTCTCTGACTATGAAGGCATCAAACTAGAAATAAACCATAAAAAGAAGGCAAGGAACTCTCCTACATCATGGAGATCAAAACCCACACCACTGGAAGACCACTGGACTAATGAGGAGATCAAAGAAGAAATTAAAAAATACTTTGAGTTGAATGACAAGGAGGACACCAATTTCCTAAATGTATGGGACGCAGCAAAAGCAGTGATAAGAGGAAAATATATAGCAATACAGGTTTACATCAAGAAATAAGAAAGAACTCAAAGAAACAACCTAATCAAACATCTAAAAGAACTTGAAAAAGAACAACAACAAAAACCCTAAAACCAGCAGAAGAAAGGAAATAATAAAAAACAAAGCAGAAATAAATGAAATAGAAACTAAAAAAGCAATCCAAAAGATCAATGAAACCAAAAGTTGGTTCTTTGAAAAAATAAATAAAATAGACAAACCCCTAGCCAGGCTCACAAAGAAAAACGGGAGAAAGCACAAATAAATAGGATCACAAATGAAAGAGGAGAAATCACAACAGACAGAGCAGAAATCAAAAGAATAATCAGAAACTACTATGAACAGTTATATGCAAATAATCTCAACAGTCTAGAAGTGATGGACAAATTCCTACAACTCTATAATCACCCAAAGCTAGATAAAGAAGAATTAGAACACCTAAGCAGACCAATTACAAGCAGTGAAATTGAAATGGTAATCAAAACCCTCCCCAAAAACAAAAGCCCTGGACCAGATAGACTTACCAATGAATTCTACCAAACTTTCAGAAATGAACTAGTGCCTATCCTTTGTAAACTCTTTCAAAAAAATTGAGAAGGAAGGGATAATACCAAACACGATCTATGAAGCCAACGTTACACTAATACGAAAACTGAACAAGGACAACACAAAAGAAAGAAAACTACAGGTCAATCTCGCTAATGAACACTGATGCAAAAATCCTCATTAAAATTTTAGTTAACAGAATTCAACAATGTATCCATAAGATAATTCACCACGACCAAGTAGGATTTATTACAGGAACACAAGGATGGTTCAACATCTGAAAATCAATCAATGTAATACAACACATTAACAAAAAGAAATATAAAAACCATGTGATAATATCAATAGATGCTGAGAAAGCTTTCGACAAAGTACAATACCCATTTATGATAAAGGCCCTTGAAATTCTCAGGCTACAAGGAACATACCTCAACATCATAAAGGCCTTATGACAACCCCATAGACAATATCATTCTCAATTATGAAAAGTTAAAAGCATTTCCATTAAGATCTGGAACAAGACAAGGATGTCCACTCTCACCACTGCTTTTTTTTTTAAGGATTTATTTATTTATGCATTCAAAGGCTTGGGTACAGGCCAGAGATGCAGGGGGTGAGAAGATCCACCAGAGACAGAGTGGGGAACAGAATAGGCAAATTGACTGAAATACACTGCTGAGGGGAGCAGCGGGTGAGACAGGAGAGGTCTGCCTCACCATGTGGGTTTCTCCCTGGCCAGTCCGGGGATCAAACTCATGCTGCAGAGGCTGTGGATTGCTTCATAGTGTGGTGCTTAACCCCTTGCACCAGCAGGGAGGCCCTCTCCACTGCTTTTCAATATAATACTGGAAGTCCTATCCAGAGCAATAAGACAAGAGAAAGAAATACAAGGAATCCAAATAGGGAAGGAAGAAGTTAAACTATCACTATTAGCATGTGATATGATAATATACATAGAGAACCCCAAAACTCCAGGAAAAAAAAAATCAAACTAATCAATCAGGTTAGTAAAGTAGCAGGATACAAAATCAACATGCAAAAATCAGTAGCCTTCCTATACACAAACAATAAATCTGAAAAAGAAATCAAGAAAACTATCCCTTTTATTATTGAAACAAAAAAATCAAATACTTGGGAATAAACTTAACAAAAGAGGTAAAGGACCTATACAAAGAAAACTATAAAACACCATTAAAAGAAATAGAAGAAGACACAAAGAAATAGAAAGACATCTCCGGCTCATGGATTGGAAGAATTAACATTATCAAAATGGCCATCCTACCAAAAGCAATTTACAGATTCAATGCTATTCCAATAAAATCTCAATGACATTCTTCAACGAAATAGAACAAATGCTGATGAAACTCATATAGAACCACAAAAAAACACGAATAGTCAAAGCCCTACTGATGAAAACAAAGAAGAAAGGAGGTATCATACTTCCAAACTTCAAGCTATACTACAAAACCACAATAATTAAAACAGTTTGGTATTGGAACAAAAACAGACACACAGACCAATGGAACTGAATAGAGAGCCCAGAAATAAAGCCACACTTATATGAACAGCTAATCTTTGACAAAGGAGCAAAGAATATGCAATGGAACACAGACAGTTTGTTCAATAAATGGTGCTGGGAAAACTGGACTCCACATGCAAGAAAATGAAACTAGACCACTATCTCTCATCATGCACAAAAATCAACTCAAAATGGATAAAAGAACTGGATATAAGACCTGAAACCATAAAATATATAGAAGAAAATATAGGTAAAACACTACAAGACATACATCTCAGAAACATCTTTAAAGACTTCACCCAAGGCAGTGATAGTGAAGGCCAAGATAAACAGCTGGGACTACATCAAAATAAAGAGCTTCTGTATAGCAAAAGAGACAGTAACCAAAACAAAGAGACACCCCACAGATTGGGAGAAAATTTTTGCACCCAACACTAATGATAAAGGACTGATCACAAAAAATCTACAAAGAGCTGATGAGACTCAACAAAAACAAAGTAAATAATCCAGTCAAAAAAGAGCTAAAAAGAAACTTCTCCAAAGAGGAAATGCAAATGGCCAATAGGCATATGAAAAAAAGTTCAACATCACTTGTAATCAGGGAAATGCAAATCAAAACTACAATGAGATACCATCTTACACCAGTGAGATACTAAAAAAAAACTAGCACATACTAAAAAAAAACTAGCAACAACAAATGTTGGCAAGGATGTGGAGAAAAAGGAACACTCCTGCACTGCTGGTGGAAGTACAAACTGGTCCAACCACTAGGGAAAGCTGTGTGGAGATTCCTCAACCTGCTAAAGATGGAACTTCCTTATGATCCAGCAATTCCACTCCTAGGTATTTACCCAAAGGACACAGAAACATTAATTCAAAAGGGCACCTGCAACCCTATGTTTATAGCAGCACTATTTACAATAGCTAAGCTATGGAAACAACCCAAATACCCAAAAATAGATGACTAGATCAAGAAGATGTGCATATACACAATGGAATATTACTCAGCAATCAAAAAAGATAAACTCATGCCATTTGCAGCAACATGGATGGAGCTGGAAGGGATCATGCTCAGTGAGATAAGCCAGAAAGAAAAAGAAAAATACCAGATGGTCTCACTCATAGCAGGAATTTAGAAAACCTAAATAAGGGATCAGGAAAAAGATTAATAAAGTAAAAATCAAAATTAGCAAGGAACTATAAACCAGAGACACACTTCAGGGGGGAGAGAAGGGAGTAGGATCAAAACAAGGGTGGTGGGAATTGTATGGACTATAACCAAGATGAAAATGCATACATTGTGCAAAAATGAAAAATGATGTAAAAAATATATATAAAATAAAAAAATGAAAAAAGTGAATATTCAGCTATAATCTTAGCTTTAATAAACAACAAAAAAGCATTTTAATGCTAAACAAAAACAAAAACAAAAAAAAAGGCATTATTCAGTGGGTCCTCATCAAAAATCCTATTACAGAGATGGGAAAGCAGGCTTAAGGATGTCAAATGGCCTGTCACAGTCATGTAAGTCAGTACTGAGAACCATCCAAGCTAGGCTTGCATGATATTTTCTCTAAGCTATTGGGCCCTGCTCTGTTCCTGCTGTGGACGGAAAGGGTCTAGGGTAAATAAATGCCCCCGCGTCAGTTTGGAGATGGTGCTGTACAGAATCCCCCTACAGACTCCAAAGAAAGATAATTTACTTTTTTCTCTCTTATTTTAAAGGGACATTTGAGACCCTCATTAGATTCAGAATCAGCAAAGGGACAAATGTCTGGAGATTCCAGGGAAGGAGAACACAGATCACCAGGTAAGCATCTGAGCAGATGACTCAGGAAGGAGAAAAATTCATGTGACTGGAGAAAGCTATCAGGTGACTAATAGACGATCAGAAATCAAGGAACACTGTGATGCATCGTCTCTACTATTATCACCTGACACCAGATTTACGAAAATGTAAAAGAATGATAATTCCTGAGGCTCAGCTGGTGGCAGGAAGCAGCCCCCATCAGAAGCCACTGTTGGCAATGTCAGTGCCACGGCCTTTCTGGTTTGGAATCTGGCTGTAGACAGTAGAATTTTCTGTATGCAGCTCCTTCCACCAGCAGCCCCCATTGGGGGATTATGGCCTAAAATGTGTCCCCCCAATTCAAATGTTGACATTGTAACCAATTAGAACTTTAAAAAGTGACTATGGAGTTACGGTCTTGAAGTAATTATGATTTAGTAGGTTCACTGGAGTGTGTCCCGATCCAATATGACTGGCACCCTAGAAGACAAGGTGAGGACACAGAGCCTGAGAAGGAAGTTGGGTGAACACACAGATAGAAGAGGACCATCAACGAGCTAACAGAGCACCCTCAGGACAAACCAACCTGGCTGACACCTTCAACTCAAACTTCTGACCTCCAGAGTGGTAAGGAAGGTGTTGTTTATGCCACCCAATCTGTGGCCCTGTGCATGGCAGCTCGCTGCTGACATGGCTACTGAGTTGAATCACAGCAAGGAACCAGTGGGTTCTGGTGATATGGTCTGGAAGATAAATGATAGAAAAACATTCAGAACAGCTTAATCCCAGCCCCCTCCCCCGACTCGTCTGTATAAACCATTCTGCTAACTTCCATGATATGTTAGGCGTGGAGAAAGTTGGAAGGCCAGGAGCTGACTGCCACACAGGCACCTGGGCATGGAATTCAAAAGGCAGCAAAATGCAAGGATACTCATAACATAGCATAAGGTGAAAACAATACATTTTTTTCTCTAATTTTCTTATAAATGTCTGAGTCTTTCTACCCTCGCACATAGCTGGTGAGGGATGACGGGAATTCAGATTCCTTTGGGAGTGGGGCCGTGAGACACCCTAGTGGGAAAGTGCTGGGAGGACTCTCCGGAGTCCTTAGTTTTGAGTCTGATTCTGGGCCCATCTCAGTCTTCTTGGGGCCCTGGGTATGGAGACCCCTCTTTGCCTGCTCTCACCTCAGACAAGTCCACTTATCCCCATTCTCGGGGTAAGTGGAACCATCCACCAGGTGCAGCTCTGCAAAGACAGAGCCTGGTAGCCAGACAGGAGGTATCAGGGACTTGCCTGAGCACCACACAGCGGGGAACCCCCAACAAATCCTACTCCCCAGATCAGGTACAGAGGGGCATCTGCAAAGACCTCCAGCCGGAGAGGAAATAAAGTGGTAGAGGAGCTTGCTCCCTACCACTCACCTTCTTTTCCAGTCAGCCATTACTTAGGGTAGGAACATGGTAGAACATGGTTTTAGGATTCTAAAACCTACTTTGACTTTGAAGCCTAGCTGCATTAAAAGTACATTTCATAATTTCAACTGTTTTAACATTAAATCAGTTAATAATGATGCAATTTATTCATTAATTCTCCCAGTGACATTTTTGCTATTTCTGAATTCTATAACAAAAGAATATTGCAGTAAAAACTGAGTGTGTTTGTAATGCATTAAATGAGTTGAATTGTTTAGTCATTAGATACACAAAAATAGAATTAAATGAATACTAGCCAATTATTTCCAAATCATCACCTTTATTCTTGTTCTTCCTTGCTATCAAGTCTGCAGAGTTACCTTTAAGACGACGAGCATTTACTCTTTTTTTAAAAAAAAAAAAATTTATATTTTACATCATTTGCCAAAGACCAGCCTCAGCAAAATGTTGTGTCAGGAGTCCCTGAAAGGATGAGACGGCCTAGGTGAAACCTTAAGGGCTGAAGGGAAGGGGATGAGGTAGTGAGGAGACACTGACACTCGATGAGGTGCAAGTATCTTTTACTGAGGGGCTCAGCCGAAGATACATTTATTTATACATTTTTAGCAAGCAGTGAGATTACATTATCATGTGCATAGAAACAAAGCACAATCAGTGCATCCCTCAGACTTTTTGTTGTTATGTGCCTTCCGCAAGAAAGCAACCTTCAAGGTAAATGGATAAAAAACTAAGCCTTACACTAAAACTCATTATTTCAGTTAGACAATTACCTAAGACAATGGATAGCCGCCAGTACACCCCTATCAGCTAAAGCCTAAGCATCAAAAGACTCTTCTATTCAGATGGTCTTCAGCTGGAGACCAGCTGCTTCTCAGCTATCAGACCTTTCCTACCTAGAAACTCCTTAACACAATTAACTTCATTTGAAAACTTTCTTAAGAAACTTCTAAAAAAAAACAAAAGAAGGACTTACTATAACCGTTGTCCTGGAGTGCTTGTCAGGCATGTGCAATAAATTGTCTCCCATTGTCAAGTGGGCCAAATTGTTTGATAACTAATTTTTAAATAGATAATTTTCCATGCCATTTACTTACAGTATGCTGTTACATATAATTTATTGCCTAATGTACTTTCTGAGAAATTTTTCTCTTTTTATGACCAAGAACAAAAAACAAAGGGATGTTAAATCTTCAGCCCCACGGTGTGAGGCACAAGGAATCTTCAGCCACAGGGTGTGAGGCTCTTTAAAAGTCTTCGGCCCCACAGTGTGAGGCCCTTTTTCTTCAGCTGCGTGGTGTGAGGCTCTTTGAGCTTCTGCCCCAAGGTGTGAGGCCCTTTTTCTTAGCTGCTTGCCAGTGTCTTATCTGGCTGGGGCAGCAAGTTCTCCCCCCCCCCCATCATTGTTCATTTTTGTACAATGTTGGATTTCTCAAGTGCTGTCCCCATAAAACTCCCACCACCAACTCACCTGTAGTCTCTTGTGCTCTTCCTGCCCTTATTTTAATATTTTACTCCCTCTCCCTCCCCCTCCCCTGCTGAATGTTTCCCATTTATAGTTGCCTGCTAGTTTTGTCTTTTTTTTTTTTTTGCCTGATACCTTATTTGGCTCCCCTATATTCCTCCTATAAGTGAAACGATCTGATATATTTTTTTTCCTTCTAATTTATTTCACTGGGCATAATCCCTTCCAGCTCCATCCATGTTGCTGCAAATGGCCATGAGTTTATCTTTTTTGATTCCATTGTGTATGTATACCACATCTTCTTTATCCAATAAACATAACTGAATTAATGTTTTTGTGTCCTTTGGGTAGATCCCTAGGAGTGAAATTGCTGGGTCATATGGTAGCTCCATTTTCAGTAGTTTAAGGAACCTCCACACAGCTTTCTGTAGTGGTTGGACCAGTTTGCACTCCCACCAGCAGTGTAGGAGAGTTCCTTTTTCTGTGCATCCTTGCCAATATTTGTTGTTGCCTGTTTTTTTTTTTTTTTTTAATGTTGGTATCTCATTGTGATTTTGATTGCATTTCTCTATTTATAAGTGATGTTGAACATTTTTTCATGTACCCGTTGGCCATTTGCATTTCCTCTTTGAGAAGTGTCTTTAGCTCTACTGCCAATTTTTTTTACTGGATTGTTTGTTTTTGTTGAGTCATGTGAGCTCTTTGTAGATCTTTGTGACCAGTCCCTTGTCAGTTTTATTGTGTGCAAATATTTTCTCCCAATCAGTAGGGTATCTCTTTGTTTTGGTTATTGTCTCTTTTGCTGTGCAGAAGCTTGATGTAATCCCAGCTGTTTATCTTTTCCTTCACTTTCTTTGCTTTGGGGATGAGTCTTTAAAGATGTTTCTGAGACGTATGTTATGTAGTGTTTTGCCTATATTTTCTTCTACATATTTTATGGTTTCAGATATTACATTCAGTTCTTCAATCCATTTTGAGTTAGTTTTTGTGTATGGTGTGAGATAGTGTTCTAGTTTCATTCTTTTGCATGTGGTGGTCCAGTTTTCCCAGCACCATTTATTGAGCAGAGTATCCTTGTTCCAGTAAATATTCATTGCTCCTTTGTCAAAGATTAGTTGTCCATATATGTGTAGCTTAATTTCTGGGCTTTCAATTCAATTCCATTGGTCTGTGTATCTGTTTTTGTTCCAGTACCATACTGTTTTTTGGGTTCTCTCTATATATTACATCATCTGCAAATAATGATAGTTTTGCTTCTTTTTTCCTATTTGGATTCCTTGTGTGTCTTTCTTTTGCTTTGGCTAGGACTTCTAGTATTGTATTGAAAAGCAGTGGTGAGTGGGCCTCCCTGGTGGTGCAGGGGGTTCAGTCTCAGCATTATGAAGCTATGGGCAGCCACTGCAGCATGAGTTTGATCCCTGGCCAGGGAGCTAAGCACATGGCACAGCAGACCTCTCCTGTCTCATCCGCTGCTCCCCTCAGCTGTGTATTTCAGTCACTCTGCCTGTTCTGTTCCCCACTCTGTCTCTGCTAAATCCTCTCACCCCCCTGCACCTCTAGCCTACACCCCAGCTTTTGTATGCATAAATAAATAAAATACATCTTTAAAAAAAAAAAACAGACAGTGCTGAGAGCAGATATCCTTATCTTGTTCCAGATCTTAATGGGAAGGCTTTCAGCTTTTCACCATTGAGAATGATATTGGCTGTGGGTTTGGCGTATATGGCTTTTATTATGTTAAGGTATGTGCCTTCTATTCCAAGAATTTTGAGGGCCTTTATCATAAACGGATGTTGAACTTTGTCAAATGCTTTCTCAGCATCGATTGATATGATCATATGGTTTTTATTTTTCTTTTTGTTGATGTGTTGAATTACACTAATTGATTTTCAGAAGTTGAACCATCCTTGTGCCCCTGGAATAAAACCCACTTGGTCATGGTGTATTATCCTTTTGATGCATTGTTGGATTCTGTTTGCTAGGATTTTACTGAGGATTTTTTCGTCAGTGTTCATTAGGGAGATTGGCCTGTAGTTTTCTTTTTTGTGCTGTCTTTGGTTTTGGTAGTAGTGTGATGTTGGCTTCATAAAATGTATTTGGTAGTATTTCTTCTTTCTCTATTTTTTGAAAGAGTTTTTGTAGGATAGGCACTAATTCATCTTTGAACATTTGATAGAACTCATTTGTGAAACTGTCTGGTCCTGGACTTTTGTTTTGGGGGAGGGTTTTGATTACTGTTTCAATTTCAGTGTTTGTAATTGGCCTGTTTAGGTGCTGTGTTTCTTCTTTATCTAGCTGTGGATAATTGTACAGTTCTAGGAATTTGTCCACCTCTTCTAGATTGTTGAACTTGTTTGCATATAAATATTCATAGTAATCTCTGATTGAGCAGTTACTCTTAAGTATATAGCACCTTAATTATTTGCTTTATATTAAGTATACCCACTAACAATTTTATTTATACAATATTGGCTTTGTTGGTATGATCATGAAGTTGGTGGCTAAATTTGAATGTAACCACCAAAAACATGGATGATAACTGGTTCATTGCTTTGCTGTTTATTGTTTAACACTTGATAAATCTCCAAATTGAAGGATGATACACTTTCATTATCTTTTAAAATTTGCTATGTCAGCCTTCCACTGCATTGTTCATCCTGTAATTGCTGTTCTGTACTGATGAGTAAACATTCCAGATTTCTGTGGAAATTCTGGAGCTTCTGGTCTTCTGCTTCTGTCATGCCTTCCACAGATAAACACTTTCAACATAATCCATCAGGCCATCTAAATTTTCTTCTGTGTTCTCCACAAAGAATTCAAAAGTCTCATTTACTTCTTCAAAGGCACAAATAGTAATTCTAACGACCTGAACTTACAGATGTTACTTTTCATTGTCATATACTCAAATGTTAGGCCCAAAGAAGATTTTTTTTTTTTTGCCACAATGATTGTGAAAAGTGAAATAAGCATCCTTTTACTTGTGCATTTGGAAGGAGCAGTCAAATCACATTTATATTTGCAATCTCAAAAGCTATCATGCACAACGAAGGGGTAGTATTGAGATTTTTTTTCCTGTGCAAATAAATGCAAGCACTTTCTATCTGTGTATACATTAAACACCTGTGTGTGTGTTTTCACTTTTTTATTGTTAGTGCATAAATCAATGACATAGTATAATCCAATACTATATCTTGTGTAGCAAATAACTGTGTTGATGTGGTCTTGAAAGTACCATCACTGAATATTGTGGTAACTGGCACTTAAATGTCAAATAATGTCATAGTTGTGTAAATAAGAATTATTTTGTCATCTGGCACACTCGCATCGCATATGAGAAATGGTTCTCTGTGTCTGGTTATTTTCTGTTTCTCTCGAATTTCAATTCCATGCAGTGAAGGTGGGCTTGAAGATTGATATATGTTTTGAACTCTAATTACCACCTCTCTCTTTAATGAGTTTCTTTCTGGCACATTAACAGGACCTCTTTACTATGACTATTATTTCTACAAAGTACCTGTGATAGTGTAGCATTTGGTTCTTCTATGTGTCATTTTAACCTAATCAAGTTTTTCCTTTTCCTCTTTTGTGCTGTTATTTTCCTGACCTGTCTTGAATGATTGTAATGTCATCCAAATCCTGATTAGCTGTACATGGGTTGTACATGGCAGGTTCTCCTCTCTTTAGGGCACCAGTATCTATTACTCCTATCTTGGCTAAAGAAATGTAAATATTAACCAAAACCATATTACTGTAGCACTGACTTTTCTTATTATGAGTATACAATTTCTGCCATATTCTGCTGAAAATTTTCAAATAAATATGTCCTAATGCTAGGCAAAAGAAAAAAGGGTTATTTACTTTTTCTTTCGTGGCCATTTGACCAGTGGTCGCTGGTTTACTGGTAGGAAAATCTTATTAATGTCTTATGTTTCTGGCACCCGGTTCGGCTGGGCAGCCTCAGCATGTCGGTAGGCACCAGCTGAGGATGTAGTAGTCCAGGTCCGCTGGTAGGTAAGCATGGGAGGCATAGCCACTAAAACCTCTCCAGTGGCAGAGGTTTTAGTGGCAGAAATTCTTGTGGTCTACCAAGATTATATCACTTTAAGGAACTGATTCAAGACAAACATAGCCCATTAACCCTGGGGGCTTAATTATATGTCTGTTATCTCCCTAATGGTGGCTGTTACACAAGTCCCTTCATGGCAGGAGAGACACACACATTCTCAGTCCCCAACAAGTGAGTATAAAGTGTTTATGTCAATGTTTGTCGCTTTGCATAGCAGCTTCACCAAGCTCCTCCTTTTAAACTCTATCCTATTGAATAACCTACTTACATCCAACCAAATGCCCGGTGACATATTAATGCACAATCCTATCTTTGACTTCTTGCTCTCTGTGCCGTTCTCTAACTGCAGGACTTTTCTTAGCATATGTAGTTAATATAAATTCCACTTCTTGCAAGATTCTAACCCCGTCCATCTACCTAAATCCATTATGGGCCATTTGAACCCAGGAGTGTTTTCTAAGCATGGATATTTTTGACAGAACCAAAGTTCAAGGACTTTTTGGCATAAGCCAAATGTTCTAATGGATATGTTGGGAAATGACCAAATTTCAAGGACCTTTTACTATGGATTTAATGTCTTTCAATGGATGTTTGGGACAGGACCAAATGTCTGCCAGTCATTCAAAGGATACACCCATTGACTTTTTAAAACTATTTTTTAAATTTTATTTTTTACATTTTTTACATCATTTTTCATTTTTGCACAATGCATGCATTTTCATCTTGGTTATGTCCCCATACAATTCCTACCACCCTTGTTTTGATCCTCCTCCCTTCCCCTCCACATCCCCTCCAGACCTGTAGTGTGTCTGGTTTATAGTTGCTTGTTGATTTTGATTTTTACTTTATTAGAATTAGGTTTTTTCCTGGTCCAAAAGTCCACTGACTTTGGAGGGAGGAAAGTTCTTCATGCCCTTAGATAAGCAGGTGTCAGACAACCTTGTTTGTGTCATTGTTCAAGTGGAACCCACCTTGAGCCTCAGTTTTCTTAAAATGGAGATATAGATGACTTTTCCAGAAGTTCTTATACATGACCAAATATTTCTTTTATCATGAAATAAGAGATCCAAAATTTTTTAATTAAAAACCAGAAGGCGACAGACCCAATATGAAATATTTGAGTGAAATTCTCCAACACATACAAATGACATGGATTTATAGTTGCCTGTTAATTTTTTTATTAATTTATTATTTTTTTCCTGATTCCTCCTATAAGTGAAACCTTATATTCCTCCTATAAGTGAAACCATCGATATTTTTCTTTTTCCTTCTGACTTAGAGATATTCTGCAGGGGAGGGGGAGGTGAAGGGATCAAAACAGGGGAGGGAAGAGCACAAGGGACTATGTTGATGGCTCATGGGTGACTTGGTGGTGGGAATTTTTTGGGGACTACACCTGAGAGGAGAAAGCAAACATTGTACAAAAATGAACAATGATGTAAAATATATGTAAATAAATTTTAAAAAACCTTGGAAATGGAATAATTAGATTTTTAGATTTTAGAATCACCTTTATAATAAATCTTCCTGCTATGAAGTTATGCAAAGTCTGTGTTAATAAACTGGATCTATGTATGTTTAAAAAATTAAAAAACAAAAAAAATGTCATGGAAAGTTACCTTTTCCTTAAACACTGAGGCAGGTCTTGTTCCTTCCATGTTACCATACTTTATTGTTGCCCTTGGATTTTATTAATCTTTAAGGGTAGATTTATTTTCAACCTGATGAGACCCTGCAAGCACATTCTAATATGAAATGCCAGTAATACACATTAATTCTGAGGACGCAACTAAGGCTGCTCTTTCTTCCTCTTCTTGGTCTGGTAAATTGCAGTGAATATATCACCATGTTGACTCCACAGTAGCTCCCAGTGACCCCACCCCTGGTGTCCACATCCCTACGTAACCACTAAATGGTGTCTCACCAACAGAATGCAAGGGGATGGGACATCACATCTGAGTTTCCCAGCTACTCTCGTGTGTCTCCCCACTCCTTTCTCCCTCTCATTCTTCCTCCCTCCCTACTTCCCTCCCTCTCCCTGCCCCCCATATACCTGGAACTGGGAAGAAAGCACTGATGTTAAGAGCTGTGCTATGTAGAGGCCCACAAAGCAGAGCGCAGAGGGCGCTCCCACACCAACACAAAGAAGAAACTCTCAGTACAAACTGAATCCCAACAATTATCCCATTGGTGAGCCTGGGTGCAAATCTTCCCACAGTAGAGCCTTAGTTGAGGCACAAGCTCCGATCCATAGAGATCTTGTGGTAGAAGCAGCCAGCTAGGCCATGCCCAGATCCTGGCCCACAGAAATTGTGAGCTACTAAATATTCATGCGTAGAAGTGTTAAGTTTTGGAGTAATATTATCAGAGAGGAGCAGGTACTTTACAGCGTCTGCCAGGCCTCAGGTCTGACTTACCAGTCACCCCCATTTCCTGTTCCTCCTCTCAGGTGCCCACCAGCCACAGTAGCCACCTTTCTAACCTTCTCTGGCCAACTCACCTCTGCCTGTGAGTCTCTGCACCAGTGATGCCTTCTTCCTGATACACTGCTTCAAAACTTGTGCAGGGCTGCCATCCTCTTGTCATTCTGGCTCGGGAATTGTGTTACCTCAGTGAGGACTAACAGACTTTCCTACCCAGTGACTCCCTAACCCTCCTTCTTCCTGCTACAGAGAAGCTGGAAGCTGCCTGCCCCCTGGTGGCCATAACTAGCACTGTACCCCAAGGCTAGAAACTGCATGTCTTAAAGGCAGTGTCCCAATAGTAAAAGAGCAGAACCTCAGGCTTCCAGGACTGTGAAAGGGTCATTGGAAACCACTCTTGCTCCCTGCCTTTGCTGCTCTTTATTTCAGGACGTGTTGTTCACTTAAAAGGCATCCTCACCCCAGCCTGGTCAATGATTTGACCCTAGTTACAAATGAGAACCCTGAGAATTCAACCAAGACAGCTCTTTTTCCTGGACCCCTGAGCTTTGCCTCCTTCTATCCTACCCCAAGTCCTCTTTCCTGAGCTTCAATCTCTGCTTTGCTTTGAAGGCTTGCCACAGAGTAGAAAGCATTCACCTGTGCCCTCAGAGCACAGTGGTTCATTGGTGGAGAAATAAGGATGACACACCTTTCAAACATGCAGAAACCTTGGGGTCAGCCACTGCGAGTACTCCAGTATGTAGAGAAGGGAACCGAGAACTTCTTTCCTGTAATTCCTGTCTATACTGTGCTCTGTGTGTGTGTGTGTGTGTGTGTGTATCGGGAGAGGGTGGGAGGGTGTTGGAGGTATTTGTTTAGCTCAGTTCCAGGAGCTGAGAACGCGAGAATGCAGGAACCCAAGCCCTGTGCCCTGGAAACCACAATGGAGATGACCCATTCCCAGGGTGCACTGTGAGGTCATGCTGTGGAACCCTGAATATATTGCCAAGAGAATGAGTGTCTGTCCTTCATGGCAGAGGTGCTCGAACCTTTTCCTCCTCTTTTTGTTGTCACTGCTCTTTTAAAAAAATTTTTAAACTGTTAAATTTTCTTATATCATTGTTCTTTTTTTGTGCCACATTTGATATCTTGCCTCATGGGTAGTCCCCATAAATCTCCCATCACCACATCCCCTGTGTACTGTCAAGATAGTCCCTTATGTTCTACTCTCCCCTGTTTTGATCCCTTTCCCTCTCCCCCCCCCATATGCCTCAGATTTATAGTTTGCCTGCAAGTTTTGTCTATTTTCTGACCTTTTGTTCAGTTTCCATATATTTATCCCGTAATCATCTGATATTTTTCTTCTTCCTTCTGACTTATTTCATTGCTGCAAATGGCCTAAGTTTGTCTTTTGATTGCTGAGTAGTGATCCATTGTGTCTATATACCACATTGTCTTGATCCAGTCTTGTTTTTGGACATTTAAGTTGTTCCATGTCTTAGCTATTGTCAATAGTGCTGCAATGAACATAGGAGGGCAGGTTTCCTTTTAAATTAATGTTTTAGTAGATACCTTTGGGTAGATACCTAGGAGTGAATTTCTGGGTCATATGGTAGCTCTATTTTTAGAATTTGAGGGTCCTCCAGAGACACAGCTTTCCAAAGGGCTTGGATCACCAGCTGTAACTGCTCTTCTCTACTGTTCTTCTGTGGTCCTCAACTATGCAGTTTGCTTCTGTATGTATGCTTCTGTAACTATGCTGCCCATAGTTAATAAGAAAAAAGATAGATAATCTACCAGGAAAAAGTGGGCAAAAGACTTGACTAAGCATTTCATATGAAGTTAACCATATGGCCAACAAGTATTTGAAAAGTTGCACAATATCATTATTCATCAAGAAAATGTGACACCTCTATAGAATGAATAAAATAGCTACCAATAATACCAATGATTGATGAGGATGGAGAGAAACTAGACTTCCTTTACTGTCTGTGGGTATAAACTGCTACAAGTACTTTCAAAAAGGCTTTGGTAGTTTCTCTTAAAGATACATTTTCACATGCTCTAGGACCCAAAAATTTCACTCTGAGGTAAATACCAATAAAAATTACTAACATTTTTTCACCATACAAAAGAATGTTCAGAGAAGCGTTATTTGGTAATTCTCCAAAACTAACAACAACCCAAATATACTTCAATAATAGAAAAGAAAAAATAAATGGGTTATATGTTTTATCATGGGATACAATAGGGAAATAAAATTGAATTATAGTTAAATTAAAGCATACGTTTAAAATTCAAAAAGATATATGCATGCCATGTTTATGGCAGCATTATTAGCCATAGCCAAAATATAGAAAGACCGTCTCTCTGGGAAGAGGGTGGGAAGTAAGTGGGACAGGTAAACAGAGAAAGGGGGTCAATGGATGGTAGTGGGCATGGTGTGGTACATACAGTTGTCAAGGTGTAAAGCTGTACACCTGAAACTTACACAGTGTACGCCAATGTTACCTCAATAAAATTTTAAAAAGAAATTTAGAAAATAAAAAATTCAATAGAGAAAATAAAACCATCCCGTAATCTCATCACCAAGAATTTACCCCCCTAACTTAGATTGTCAGAATCTTTGTTTTTGCTTTGTTTCTTCGTTTGCTTTCTGATTCTTTGTATTCCACACATCAATGAATCCATACTGTTTTTGTCTTTCTCCTTCTAACTTGTTTTGTTAGGGGGAAATGATGTCCTGAGCTAATCCCATACAGGCTTTGTGGACCCCACCCCCACTCCAGACCAAAGCCATCAAGACATTGGGAAAGACAAATCCCATCACCACCAAAGGGAGGGTGGCTGGGACCTGAGGGTGGAGTTAAGCAGCCAGGTTGGGTATAAAAACCAAACACGTGGGCCTTGGGGGCTCTCGCTCTGTCGCTCGCCTCCTGGCTTCACGGCTCCTGGCTCGCAGCCAGCTCTCAGAGTGCCATTTGGGATTCCAGATCGGCGGATTGGGTAGGACTCATTTAAAACTTTGTCTCCCACTTTTCTCCCTGAGCTGCACATTTCCTCATTTCCCCTTCCCTTGTAAATAAACCTTTTATTAACCTTTCACGTAAGCGCGCGGGTGAGGACCCACAGTCAGGCACCCTGTTTTGTATCGGGGCTGCCCTATAACAGTTTCACTTGGCATAATCACCTCAAGGTCTATTCCTGTTGTCATAAACAGTACAATTTCATCTTTAAATTTTTTTTATCATTTAATTCATTGAGTATTAATTCATCGTGTGTATATACCATATCTTCTTTATCCATTCATCCAGCAATGGGTATTTAGGTTTATATTTTGGCTATGGCTTGTAATGCTGCCATGAACACGGAGTGCTGATATCTTTTTGAATTCATGTGTTCATATTTTTCAGATAAATATTGTTGATCATATGGTAGTTCTGCTTTTAATTTTGGGGGGAACCTCCCTACTGTCTTCCATAATGGTTTCTTCAATTGATATTCCCACCAACAATGTATGAAGGTTTCTTTTTGCCCCACATCCTTACCAGCACTTATTGTTTTTTGTCTTTTTGATCATAGCCATTCTAGCAGATGTGCAATAATATTTTGTTGTGGTTTTGACTTGTATTTCTTTAACAATAAATGAGGAAGAACATCTTTTCATGTGTCTGTTTGCCATCTGTATGTTTTCTTTGGTGAAATGCCTACTTAAATCTTCTGGTTTTTTAATCAGATTGTTTGTTGTTAAGTTGTTTATATATTTTAGAGATTAACATATCTGATAGGTGGGTTGTAAATATATACTTCCATTCAGTAAGTTCCTTTTTCATTTTTTTTAAGATTTATTTATTTATGCATACAAGAACTGGGGTATGGGTCAGAGGTGCGGGGTTGCGAGGATTCCCCAGAGACTGAGCAGGGCACAGAACAGGCAGAATGACTGAAACACACTGCTGAGGGGAGCAGGGGGCGAGTCAGGAGAGGTCTGGTGCGCCATGTGGGTAGCTGCCTGGCCAGGGATCGAACTTGTGCTGCAGTGGTTGCAGATAGCTTCATGGGTTGGTTTTAACCCCTTGCGCCACCAGGGAGGCCCTAAGTTCCTTTTTCATTTTAACGATGATTTCTTTCACTGTGCAGAAACTTTTTAGTTTTTGTAGTCCCAAATTTTTATTTATCGATGTTTATTTTTGCTTTTGTTTCCATTACCAATGGAGATAAATTCACAAAGATGTCACTAAAGCTGATTTTGCAGAGCTTATTGCCTGTTTTCTCCTATTGTTTTGTGGTTCCAGATCTTACATTCAAGTCTTTAATACATTTTGAATGATTTTTTTGTATGATGTTAGACATTTTTTTGTATGATGTTAGGGGCATGTACTTGTCTGGTTTTCCCTGCACCATCTATTGAAGAGACTTGCCTTTCTCCATTGTATGCTCTTTGTTGTAAATTAGTTGTCCATAGAAATGTGGGTTTATTTTTGGACTCTAAATTCTATTCCACTGATCTGTGTGTCTGTTTCTTGTTTTTTTTTAAAGATTTATTTATTTATTTATACAAGAACCAGGGTACAGGCCAGATGCGCAGGAGGGTGAGAGGATCCACCAGAGACAGAGCAGGGAACAGAGCAGGCAGACTGACGAACTACACTACTGAGGGGAGCAACATTGAGACAGGAGAGGTCTGCGCACCATGTGGGGACCCTTGCAGGCCGGCCAGAGTGAACCGGAGCTACAGGCTACAGACAACTTCTCAGCGCAGGGCTCAACCACCTGTGCCACCAGGGGAGGCCACTGTGTGTCTGTTTTTATTGCAATATCATGCTCATTTGATTACTGAAGATTTGTAGTATGGTTTGAAGTCAGAGGGCTTGATATCTCCATTTTTCTTCTTCTTTTTTTTTTTTAAAGATTTGTTTATTTATATATTTATTTACACAAGCACTGGGTACAGTCAGAAGCACGGGAGGGTGAGAGAATTCACCAGAGCCAGAGCGGGGAACAGAACAGGCAGACTGATGAAATACACTTCTGAGGGGAGCAGCGGGCTGGCAGGAGAGGTCTGTTGTGCCATGTGGGGCCCTCGCCGGTGGCTGGGGATCTAACCCGCGCTGCAGAGGCTGTGGGCAGCTTCGCAACCCAGCGCTCAACTGCTGCGCCACCGAGGAGGCCCCATCTTTCTTCTTTATGAGAATTGTATTGGCTGTTCAGCGTTTTTTGTAGTTCCATAAACATTTTTAAATTGTTTGTTCTATTTCCTTGAAAAATGCCATTGGGGAGCCTCCCTGGTGGTGCAAGGGTTTAAGCACAGTACGATGAAGCAATCCACAGCTTCTGCAGCACGATTTCGATCCCCGGCCGGCCAGGAAGAAACCCACATGGCGAGGCAGACCTCTCCTGACTCACCCGTTGCTTCCCCCAGCAGTGTATTTCAGTCAGTCTGCCTGTTCTGTTCCCCACTCTGCCTCTGGTGAATGCTCTCACCCCCATACTTCTGGCCTGTACCCCAGCTCTTGTATGCATAAATAAATAAATCATTTTTAAAAAATGCCATTGGTATTTTGATAGGTATCACATTGAATCTGTAACTTGCTTTAGGTAAGATATTTAGCAACGTTAATGCTCTCAATCCACAAGCATGGAATGTCTTCCCATTTCTTTGTGGCCTTAGTTTCTTTCAACAATTTCTTGTGGCTTTCGGTGTGCAAGAATTTTTTTTTTCTCTTCAATAAAATTGTAAATGATATTGCTTTCTTATTTTCTTTTTCTGCTATTTCATTGTTTACATATAATGTGAAACTAATTTTTATATTGATTTTGTAGTCTGCCACTTTATTGTGTTCATTTATTATTTCTAATATATATATATATGTGTGTGTGTGTGTTGTGTGTGTGTGAAGTCTTTAAGGTTTTCTA